CGGCCACTGCACTCCAGTCTGGGCGACAGTGAGATTCCAACTCAAAAAAAAAAAAAGCAAAAAGTAAACTGATGATTGCTTTCGGTGTGCATATAGATGTGAACGTGTGCTGGGTGCTGCACTGGACTTGAGTCGCCACTCACCCTTTTCCGAGCTTCAGACTTCTGGAAGCACTCGTGCTGTATGAAAGTCGCTGCTGCGGAAATCCGGGACGGCGGCGTGTGGTCGGCATCCAGCAGACTCACGGCTCGCTCCAGGGTCATCTCCATGTCTGCATTCCTAGACAAACAAGTTAGGGATTCAGCAAGATTCCAAACCTGCCCCCTCTGCCTACCAACCTGAACCTCTAGAAATGACTTGGCTGATAGCGGGAAGCACCTGGAACATCTGAGCCCTGGCTTGTCTTCAGCCCAAAGAAAAATCGCACCCGAGATCTCAGAAGGGTTAGGGAGCCAGTGGCAGAAATACTCCAGCTCTGACTGGACTAGCCTCTGAAGATGTCATGAAATTGAACAGAATCATAATGTATACCAAAGAAAGAAAGTGAATCTTCTAAGATAAATATGTATTACCGAATGATAATTACATCTTTAAAAGTTACTTTAAAGGTAAGACTTTTTAGATGGAATTTAAAAGAAATTTGTTCATAGAAATTAAAAAATTATTTCAACTCCAGTAATGTCACAACTATAGAGGAAGTATCTCTTTTAAAAAATCTTAAATTTTTCCCAAAGTGGCTCAGAAAATGAGCTGAAAACATAAGCATTCTAAGGTGGCCTTATTAGGCCGGGCACGGTGGCTCAAGCCTGTAATCCCAGCAGTTAGGGAGGCCGAGGCGAGAGAATTGCCTGAGCTCAGGAGTTCTAGACCAGCCTGGGCAACTTGGCAAGACTTCGTCTCTACAATAAATCAAAAATTAGCCGGGTATGGTGGCTCACGTCTATAGTTCCAGCTACTTGGAAAACTCAGACGGAAGGATCGATTGCCTGAGCCCTGCAGATCAAGTGAGGCTGCGGTGGCCATGAGCATGCCACTCCACTCCAGCCTGGGCGACCAGAGTGAAACTCCAACTCAAAATAAATAAATAAGTAAAATGGTCTTATTAAACCCATGTACTAACATGTAAACAGTGAAATCCAGAAAATTCAGGAAAACTGAGTTTTGTTCTATTAAAGTAAGCCATGCTGGTAGTGATGAAATACAATTAAGTCAGGAAAGCTAATGATTAAATACAATTATAAATATGCTCAGCCGGGCTCAGTGGCTCAGCCTGTAATCCCGCGCCTTTGGGAGGCTGAGGTGAGTGGATTGCCTGAGCCCGCGGTTCGAGACCCGCCTGGGCAGCGAGACCTCATCTCTACAATAAATCAAAAAATCAGCTGGGCGTGGTAGCACATGCCTGTAATTCCGGCTACTCGGAAGGCTGAGGCGGAAGGATCGCCGGAGCCCAGCAGGTCGAGGCTGCGGTGGCCGGAAGCAGCCACTGCACTCCAGTCTGGGTGACAGAGTGAGACTCCAACTCAAAAAAAAAAAATAAGTAAAATAAATAAAATAAATAAATAAATAAATATGCTCTTTTTAAAAGAGAACAATGTAACACATATTCTGTTATCAACCATTGTTATCATTTGCTTGCCATTATAATCACATTCAGTTTGTTTATCCTACTAGCATACTTTTTCTTTGTGCTTTACTAATTGCAAATAATAATGACGTGTGAAGGCTGGGCACGGTGGTTCATGCCTGTAATCCCAGCACTTTGGGAAGCTGAGGTGAGAGAGAGTCCAGGAGTTTGAGACTAGCCTGGGCAACCTGAGCAACATGGCAAGACCTCGTTTCTACAATTAAAAAAAAAAAAATTAGCTGGGTGGGGTGGTGAGTGCAAGGCTGAGGTGGAAGGATCACTTGAGTCCAGCAAATTGAGGCTGCAGCAGCTGTGATCATGCCACTGCACTCCAGCCTGGGTGACAGAGTGAAGTTCTGACAAATAAATAAATAAATAAATAAATAAAATAAGTCTGATGTAGTTTGACAAAGAGAGGATAATTTATAGAGTACAAATAAAATTGCCACTCAAAAAAAGGTCACTCCCAAATCCCTCCTAGAACTAGTTTTTTCTTCCCTTTTATTTCCTCCTGGAAGGTGAATAGCTTAGGCAGTCTATTATCAATGTGGATGTTGGCACATTAGCTTTCCTGCAGTCACTGCCTCAGAGAAGTCTAAGATGGTTGCATTTTAAAATCATGGCTAAAGAGATGCCTTCAAGGTGTTCTAGGATTCTTTGGCTTCAAAGAGAGTTACACCTGATTCATTCCAGATTATGGGGACACAAAGACATCCTGGGAAAGTGTTTCCTAATATCTGCTTCTTTTTTCTATCAGGCTAACCCATTCATATGCATATGTGTGTAGATGTGGTGTGTGTTGTGTTGTGAAGGGTGTGTCTGAGTGTGGGTGGGTGTGGCACAGGTGAGGGGATAAGGAGTAATGGACCTCATTACTAAAAGCTAATATCCACTGCTTCTGAAACAGGTTTAAACATGGAAGTGTTACCTCATGAGTATAAAAGGGTATTAAAAGTGAAGAAGAACATTCCTGGCATATATACTGAGAATTATATATGATCTCATATTGTAAAATGTTGGGCTCCAGGAGTTAATTTTAATTGGTTAAAAAAAAAGAAAAGAAAAGAAAAGCAGGCTATTACTATTAAATTAGAATTTACATAACTTTTTATTTAATATAAACACATCTTTTGAAAGAGAAGGAAATATTTTACATACCTGGACTCTAAAGCCTTTACAGAGTAATAAAACTCAGTAAGTCTCAAGTTGAATGGCAATTTTAAGTCTTAACTACCATCATTTTAGGTGTTTTAATTGGTGAGACCATTCATAACATAAGGATAGCCTTCTATTTAGTGCAGCTTTTTTTTTTTTTCTTAAGATTCAGCCATTAATCCATCTCATAAGCCATAAAATGACACAGGAGAGTTTGAATTTCCCATCTCTAATACCCACAAATAATTCCATTACTCTAATCCTTTATTTTCCTGAATGTGATTCATGAAGAAGCCCTGCATTCACCCCCAGAAGACCCAGTATGTCATCACTTTATCACTAAACAAAACTCCTAAAATAGATGAAGATGTCCTCAACAAGGTTTGCTACAGCTGTCAGGGTGTCCACTTTCTGTTTTGTCATTGTCTATCGAGTCCTACTCCATGACATCGCATACATCCTGATCCCTTATCTTGCTCTTCCTTTGATCTATTACCCACCTTCCCAATCACACTGGGCTTTTAATCCCTCTCTAAACACTGCTACTTTCTTTGATTTTTCTAGGAAACTTTTGTCATTCTACCTAATTCTAACCCATTCTTCAAAACTCAATTCAAATATCTTCACTTCTGTAAAATCTCTTCTGTGCCCCCATCTCAGCCATAACTACTCCTTTTCCCCTTCTATTCCCTTTTCGCCCTCTTCCTCCCTCCTCCCTTCCTTCCTACTCACTGACACTTCTTGAAGCCTGCAGAAATATGAGTTAGGAGACAGCCCTGGGGCCAGGGCTGGGGGAGCAGGCAGAACAGTTGTTCAGCCCATGGCCCTTTGAACATATTCTCCAGAAGTGAATATCTTCAACGACTTTAGTTAATATGCTAAAATGTCAGTGTGAATGAAAAAATGTAAGAGAAACAGTAGAAAATACTATTGGTCAGAATATGAGATATTAGCCGGGCTCGGTGGCTCAGCCTGTAATCCTGCGCCTTTGAGAGGCTGAGTTGAGTGGATTGCCCGAGCCCGTGGGTTCGAGACCCGCCTGGGCAGGCGAGACCTCATCTCTACAATAAATCAAAAATCAGCCGGGCGTGGTAGCGTGCGCCTGTAATTCCTGCTACTCGGAAGGCTGAGGCAGAAGGATCGCTGGAGCCCAGCAGGTCGAGGCTGTGGTGGCCGGGAGCGGCCACTGCACTCCAGTCTGGGTGACAGAGTGAGACGCCAACTCAAAAAAAAAAAAAGAATATGCGATATTTCAGAAACAAAAGAAGACAGAAAAACAAAATGGTAATTTGTGTGTGTATGTGTGTAATTCCCAGTAACCTGTGTTCCTGTCAACTAATAGCACAGCCCTATCCTGGGCTGGTTGCCTTGATATTAGAATACAGCTACACCTCTGAGGGTCAAGCACACAGAAGATAACGAATGGACAGCTCCTGCAAGTAGTGTTAGATGCTCAGTAAGTGCAAATTGCCTTATCTCACAAAGACTTTAAAGTGTGATGAGAACACTGCTTTGGAAAGATGACTCTGGAATGGGTATGTGGTTCTTGAAACCAAGAGACAGTTTTGAGGACACTACAAGAGTCTTAGCTGAGGCGAGAGAGCCTTGAACTGGGCAGTTAAAAATGGAAATGGAAAGAGACATAGCTGAAAGAGACTTGGAAAACCAAAAGAACTTAAAGCAGGTGATGCTTAAGAGGATATGGAGGGAAATCAATACAGCCTACTTTCTGCTCTGTCCTGCTCTAGGTCCCAACCTTGCTGATGACCCTCTCCATAGTTTCTCTTAGCTTCTTTGAATTCCTGGAAACACCAGTATTGACCACACAACCTGGCCCTTGATGATGTGCCTTATTTTATTTTTTTCACTGCTCCTCTCTGACCTTCTTATATCCCAATCAATTTTTTTCTCTTATGTTTCTTACTGCCATGCTGGAAAAACCTGGAATTCGTTTGCAGAGCAGCAAGTCCCCAATAGGTACAGAAATCTTATTTTTAGAAAAATTCATCTAGAATTTTTTTTTTTTTTTTTGAGTTGAAATCTCACTCTGTTGCCCAGACTAGAGTGCAGTGGCCACTCCCGGCCACCGCCTTGACCTGCTGGGCTCCGGCGATTCTTCCACTTCAGCCTTCCAAGTAGCTGGAACTACAGGCATGTGCTACCACGCCCGGCTAATTTTTGATTTATTGCAGAGATGAGGTCTCGCCAAGATTCCCAGGAGGGGTCTTGAACCTGCGGGCTCAGGCAATCCACTCACCTCAGCCTCCCAAAGCATGGGATTACAGGCTGAGCCACGGAGCCCAGCTTAGAATTTTTGACTTGGAGATTTTTTAAAACTTTTTTTGTGAGTCTGATTTAAAACAGGCGATGACTATCTCTCTTACTCCAATGTCTCGGTTTTCAGCTGCATTAAGTAACTGTCTGACCAGCCATTCTTCTTTTGGAAAGACAGATCCATTGTTTAATACCTTATGTCACCATGTAGCTTTATAGTTTTAGCTAGGTGCTCCATAGGAACATTTAACATATGTGAAAGAACACTCCTTTACATGTGGGGATTTCATCAGGCATAAAAAAGTAGACTCCAAAAAATAGGGGCTGGACAAAATTTTAAATGTGAGACAATGCAGGACAAAAGAGCACAGTGTGTGGTCTCAGGGCAGATGTCCCAGGGAGCAGTCCGGAAGTGAAATTGAGCCATGGAGCACACCAAAGGAAAGAGGAAAGCCAGGAAGGCATTGACACCGCTTTGTTATAGGAAATACTTCTGCCTCCCTCCCCTCTCCTTTCCATAGAAAGCAAAATTTCCCTTTCAAAAATCAAACAAAAGGATGAATTTCTATGATTTCCAGGTTCTAGAACTTGAGAAATTCTCAGGAAGAGATTTCTTTCTTTCTTTTTTTTTTTTTTAAGGAAGAGATTTCTTATCCTTTACTGTAAATTTTTTGACCCCAGGTGTTCCTTCTTTAACATCTGGTTAAATATTCTAATAAAACGTACCCTGGCCATTAAAACAATAAGCCAAAATAGTATGGTTAACATTCCTCCTAGAATTTGAACAACAAAAGAACTTAGATGGCAAAAATAAGGTTTGCATTTCATTTCTCCTTTCTTTAATTCCTTCATTCTTTCTCCAGACATTTATACAGTGCCTACCACAGACTTGCTTCCGTTTTAGGGTGCTAAGAGTATACAGATGAAAGAGACACCTGAATAAAGCTCAAAGTTCAGAGGGAGAACAGATAAGTAAATGAATAGCCACAATATACTACTCTGATAGAGACACTCACCCACACAAGGCTGCTATCTAAGGAAGGAAGTGGTCAGAAAAAAGGTGGTATATGAGCAACATTCAAAATTAGGAGTAGTTAGACAAAAGCAGGGAGTAGTCAGACAAATGCATATGTAAAGGTGTGGAGTAGGGGTGAGGGGAAGGGAGGGGAAAGAGGGAAAGAGAGAGAAAGTGGAGGCAGGGAGGGAGGGAGGCAGCAGAAAGGATGAATATTTTGCATCAAGGAAAGTGCAAGAGGTTCTGAGTGGTTTGAGTGTTGGTGTGTAGGTGTGTTTGGGGATGGCGGTGCTGAAGGTGAACGAGAGTAGAAGAAGAGACTGGAGTGCTGAGCAGAGGTAAAAATACAATGAGCCTCGTATGTCACGTCAGAAAGCACAAATACTTAGCAGATTTATGGAAGGGTGATGGATGGGGGTGTTGGGGTGGGGGATAGGGGGACACAAGACACAATCAGACTTGGGAAGGTCATTCTGATAGTCCGAGAGAACAGTTCTTGAATGAACAAGATCAGAGGCAGAGAGACCTGTGCAATGGAAATGGAAATAAGGGCCAAGATTTAAGACTCATTAAAAAGGAAAAAATATGGCTTGGTGATAGACGACTGCAGAGAGAGAAGATAAGAATGACCTCCAGATTTGTAAATGATAGGACCTAGTAAGAGATGGGTGGGAGTTGAGGATAGGGAGGAGTTGACAGATTCGGTTTAGGATATGCTGCGTTTGGGGTTTCAGGAGGCTGTTAGATATACATATAGGTCCAAAGTTCACCATGGAGGACTGAGCTGAAGATGAAACTTTGGGAATCATGAGGACACATGAGCTATATAGGACTTCGCCAGAAGAGCATCACAACTTGGAAGAGAAGGGCTGTGAAGATGTCTCCTTCTTTGGGCAAGCAGAAAGGTAGCACTCAAAGAAGTTAAGAAGGAATGTCTGGAGAGAGGAGTGAAAACCAGGAGAGGCTGGTGCCCTAAAAACCAAGGGAAGAGAGAATTTCACAGTGTGTCAAATTCTGCCCACAGGCTGAGTAATACAAGGACCAGTCGGGACTATGTGTCCGGTTAGGATGCAGCAATAAGACGGTCATTGCTACATTTGTCAGGAGACTCTTTCAGTGAGATGGTGGGGACTGAAGCCATGTTGCAGCATGTTGATGAGATTGGGAAGTGACAGGAAAGTTTAAGAAGCACGGGTGCACAGAGATGGAGGAGGAGAAGAATGCCAGTTGTGGGGGATGTGGGATGGTAGTTGTGTTACTGTTAAAATCATTTTGCTAAAATTGTACCTATCACAAGTCCTAGACCATAGCAGGCATTCTATATATTTTGAATTATCCATTTAAAAGTCTTTATCAGGCTGGGTGTGACAGCTCACATCTATAATCCCAGCACTTTGGAAGGCAGAGGTGAGAGGATTGCCTGAGTCCAGGGGTTTGAGACCAGCCTGG